TGCCAAGGGCCCTGCAATGACCCCTGCTAGCTCCCTCAACACTCTGGGGTGGAGAGCATCTGGACCCGCTAATCTGAACACGTCCAGCCCCTCCAGAAGCTCTCTAACCCGGTCCTCCCCAACCTGAGGTCGAGTCTGTCTTGCATCACGGTGGGGAAGTCCCAGTCCCTGCCCAAGAAAACAGAGGTGAAGAATTGATTAAAGAGGTCTGCTTTCTTCTCTGGTGCTACCACCAGATTGCCCAGAGGATCTTGCAGGGCCCCACATTTCCTGGTGCTTTCTTCATCCTCCCTATATATTTGAAAAAGGACTTTTTGTTATCTTTGATTTGAGTCTCCAAAGTGTATCTCTAAAAATGGGGAAAATCAGGGTTCCCAACTTCCAGAGGTGCACTCTCAGTAGTCTCCTGGGTGTGTCTAGAAAGAGGGCAAGTCAGGGTTCCCGAGAAATGTGCCCCCAGCCATTTTCTGGAAGCAGGCAACCCCCCTTCCCTACTCCCCCTTGGCATGTCTGGAAACAGGGGACCCTGCCTTTCCCCACTTCTAGAGATCTGCCCCAGAAATTGCCCAAGGCAAGTCCCTGGAAGCAGGGAAAGCCAGGCAGACACTTCCAAGACTTGAGGGGGTCCAATTCTGTGCTGGACTGCGCAGGGCAAACAGGACTGTATCTTGAAAGCACCTGCCTGGTGCGGTTGGAGAATGCTGGCAGCTCTGGGTTGCCCTCACTTCCCTGCCATAAAGCAGGGCATCCACGACAATAAAGCAGCACACATTATTGCTACTTTTTGTTGCGACCACATTCTGGTGCAACAAAGGCCATAGAAGTCTATTTGCTTTCACTTTGTGTCACCATAAAAAAAATGTTGGTAGTGCAAAGGTGATGAAAAACAATGTCTACTTCCATCCTGAATTTTTCTCTTCTCCTTTTGTTTCCAGCTTATGAGCCCCAAGCTTTACAGTAATCTACCTTTAAGGTGATAAAAGCAGGGGAAAGTATGGAATGATCTACTTCTGCAACATTAAATATCTAACTGCAACTGAAGCTGTGATTAGAAAAAGCATTTTCTATTTTTTTTTTTCAAATGACCAATTTGGCATAGACAAGAACCCCACAAAATGATATGCCTGGTTCATTTTTGGAGGCACAAAAAAAAGCTATTATTAACTCCCTTTCTGAGAATGATGATGTTAAATAGATAGCAAATTTCTTTCACTTTGATGTATTAAAATTAATGTTCCTAGTCACATTAATGAAATTTTTGCTGGGTATTAACTTTGGGTGGCAAACAGCTTACTTTCACTGTATGAGTTATGAGATACTGTCATATTCCCTCTAGCCCATTCTTTCAATGAACTTGGAATAGGCCATAATCATGATAATCTGGAGAAGTGCTTAGGTAGGGTAGCACAGAGATGACTTAAATGGAATTTGAAGATCTTTGGTACTTTTTAGTATCGCAGATTAAGAGGGATCAGTGTCAAATTCAATGGCTATTTACCATAGTCAGGACCAGATTTTCATAATTCAGAATCTAACAGGTCTCTCAAAACAAAGAGGAAGTGAGTGGATGAATCTGTAGTCCTTCGTGCATAACACTGTCTCTCTCTCTCTCTCTCCAGTAATTTACTAACCATTGGAACACATTTTCTAACCTATGTCAAGGAACTGAAATGCCTTGAAATTAATACCTATGCCTTTAGTGGGAGACAAATGAAACATATCATGGGAAATATTCCATTACCTATAGGATTATCCACTAGTCAGTAAAAATGTATTCTCTTGACAGCCACCTCTGCAACATTGTATAGGAAAAGAAGTTTTGTACAAAAAAATATACACTGTACAAAACAAAGTTATCGTAATAAAAAACACGTGCCAATATGGCATAGGAAGTTTTACATATTGACATATGTGGCATGGCAATGATTTTTTCCCCTATTTTAATGCCCTTATATTTGTGATTCATTTTCTACACTTTCCCCATTTTTCTGTTAAGTTTAACAGAAATACATTGCAGAATTAAAATACCATCTCTGGTATAATTATTCCTTTTGTTATAGGAATCCAGCACACAATAGATTCATTACTTTATTAATCAGCAACCAAAGAAAAATCACTCTTTGGGTTAGGTTTTGCTTTTCACTATAAACAATTAATTTTGCTTGAAGCTTATCCACAACACTATACATATACTTGTCTGTTTTCTCTGTTTTAAACATGCCTAGAATGTTGCTTGTAGTGAAGAATTGAGAAACTGTTGCTAGCGCAGAACAGAGCCACATAGATTAAAACCATTTCCTGTACCAGAGTTCAGCATGCCAAAGAGGCAGGGAATTTCAAGTGCTAGCTTGTGTGACTCTCACTTTCCCTGGTAAGCCCTCAATTACATGCAGTCTCATTTATGTACGAGTAAGGGTCATACAATCTAGTGACACACAAGTAAGCCATGTGATGATGATCCCACTGTATAAAAAGGTCATTCTTCACAAAATGGACCCAATTATTAATTAAAACCAAATTTTTTCCAGCCACATAAATAGAAGAACGCAATTTGAAAATCCTGTCCTAGAAGCAAAAAGGAAGCTACAGCAACATAACATGCCCAACGCAGAACTTGGAACTAAGCCTATGCAGGCCCAAAGTTTCCGAGGTACTGTACCCTGTCAGCATATCATATTTAAGATTAAAACCATTCTTTCATAATTGTGACAATAATTCTAACATAGACTGATTTTAAAAAATAGTGTTGCCAACTCTCATGATTTTATACCAAGTCTCATGACATTTGTGGTGTTTTGTTCCCTTAAAGTCCCAGATCTTGGACCTGTGACAATCTTTTCTTTTTTCTTATTTTAAGGTAAAAATAAAGAAAAAGGGGGAAAAAATCCTAGCTGTCATGGTTGCAGAAAAAGGTAGAAAACGTGACCTGATTACATCCTAAGAGCTCAGAAACCATAAAGTAGAAAAGAACCCCAAATTAATTTCTAAATAATGCCATTAATTATCTTTTTTTTTTTTTTTTTTTTTTTT